ATGGCCTCCAACCTAAGAGCGATGGCCTCCAACCTAGAGCCATGGCCTCCAACCTAAGAGCGATGGCCTCCAAACTAAGAGCGATGGCCTCCAACAGTGCCTCCAACCTAAGCGTTTCATAGAGCGATGTGAGACGTCCAGTTGTTTTTTGTGCGGGTCCTTCCCTGCAGTCTGGCGCTTCAGCACAAAGGCAGTGCTGTGCTGGGGGATTGGTAATGGGCGAGAGAATTGCAAGTAACTCATGTGGAAAGCTTTTGTTCAGCCTACACACGATGTCTTTCTTGAGAGGCAATGGAATGGAATAAGTTGTTGGTTGTATTTTCTTTGAACGCAAAACATACATGTTTAGCCAAGAGAGTGTCACGTGACAGCTTCCTCATCCGTAACGCAGCGCCTGTGCTTTCAATCACATCCTCTACTCGTTGATGTCGCAGTTCCACAGTGCAGTGATGTTTCAGCATTTTTTTGGGAGCCAACACGGCTCGCAGCACTTGCAAACTCCGCCATTGGATTCCTTCCACACGTGTTCCAACGACCGACCAGGTTGGCACCGCTGGCCGTGTTCATGCTGATGTCGATAAGAGGTGTGGAGTCAGATGATGACTTAGAGAACTGCAAGAATAAATACAATCACATTAACTAGCGATGGCCTCCAACTCAGATTTTTTGCCAATCGAGCACACAGAAGTAAGTCAGATCCTTTGCTGAGGTACCTTCTGAGAGCCTCTGAGGTCTCACCCAAGCCGCATGCAAATGGTCAACTCGCTTGGCAAAATGGACACAGACCGGTCGACTGGGAGATGTGGGAAGGACGGGACACCCCAAATGTTATCGACCTAATAGCGATGGCCTCCAACCTAATAGCGACTATATAATACTATATATATATAATACTATATATATATATCTACTGTTCCTGCCTGGAAAGATGAGCTCCTGAGCCGCCCCAAAGTAAGAGCGTGGCTCTTTGTCGTGGGCCCACTGCGCAAAAGTGGCAGTCGTGGCTGACTGCCAGATCGGTCGTGGCAGCCCAGGTCGCTCAGCAGCAGCAGGCAGGATCGGTTAGTCTTGGGATCGACCCATTCCTAGGAGCAAGAACGCTACTAGTAACAAGTGCCACGCTACTAGTAGCAAGAAGCTACTAGTAACAAAGGGCATCGCTACTAGGAGCAAGAACGCTACTAGGGGCTCCTGGCCGTACTACTTGGAGCAAGTAGCTACTAGTGGCAAGTAGCTACTAGGATGGAGGCCATTCGCTATTAGTCTTTCTCGCTCTTTCAGTTGCTTCAATTGGTCACTGGATTCCACTGGATCCCATTGGTTTCTTCAGTATTTCCATGGCACGGCACGTCCGAATCCAGTTGAAAGCTGCAAACTGTGTTCCAGGTGGGCCCTGAGTTCTGTTTAGCAAGTCAGATAAGTTGTGGGATGCTTTTGGGTGTTGACAACTGTGTTCTAGGCACCCTGCTTGTACCGAATATGGGCAGTTGACGGCAGTTGTGTGTTCCTTCTTTGACTCCACGTTTGGCATTCGGAGGCCTTGGAAGGCATCACGGCCCAATTGAAGCAACACTTTCAGGGCGTAGCCGGATGCCCCAGTGCCTCATCGCATGCGGATCAACCTCATGCGGATTTTTTTTGAGTCCCCACTTCTTTATTGCTTGGCTAAATCATCGGACGGTCTGAGAAAACATGCAGAAAGGCTCGCTACCAGGAGCAAAGGGCATCGCTACTAGGAGCAAGAAGCTACTATAGGGGCTCCTGGCATCGCTACTAGGAGCAAGGATGCTACGAACGGGGCTCCTATTTATCAAGACAAAGGGTTCTTGGTGAATTGGACCCGACTCCCCGGGACTCCCCGTCAGGAACAATCACCGGTTCTGATGCTGTCGCAGTCAGCGAGTGGGGTGCCAAGATCTTGCACTGTGCACCAACAAAGGGCATCGCTACGAACGGAGTAAGGACGCTAGGGGCTCCTGGCCTGGCTAGTAACAGTCAGAATCTTGGACGCTGGCAGTTGGATTCCTCTATACGGTTAGATCTTGATGTTGCTCGGGAATACAAGACACTCCAAAGACATCAATCCCATCTCACAAGAGTTGCACGGCTTACAAGGACAACTGGAAGCTTAGCCATCAGATGTTCACAATCCAAAGCACTGCGAATCTGTGAGGGTTCTGCGCAAGAGGGTCTGATTGAGACTTTGTTTTGAAGCCACAAACATCAGCAAATGAGAGGAACAATAAGTAGACCTCAGAGGCTGTATTCAGTACATGATTCTGGACCAAGCTCTTAGACTAAAGAATTTGCTAAAGTAGGTCCGAAATGAAATTGGGAAAGCTCGCATTCTGCGCATGACGTGCAGGTTCCAGTGACAGCGTCTTTGCATGAAATTCGTTGTAGCTCTTGAGACGGTCTCTGGTCTCGACGGGTCTTACAGGATCAAAAAGGTAGCGCTCGGAAGTCACGGACGTCGGATCCCAATTGGAAAAACGTGAAGCTTTGGAGCTAGCTACTAGTGCATGGCTTCTTGCTACTAGTAGCAAGAAGCTAGCAAGAAGCTAGCTACAAGTGCACTATAGCACCTGTCAAGCTTTCAAGCTTTGGAGCTGCACTAGTAGCGTCCTTGCTCCTAGTAGAGATGTCAGGAGCCCCTATGTAGTAGCTTCTTGCCTAGTAGCGATGAACAACGCGGTGAAGCTTTGGAGCTTGCGGGTGGAAAGGCGTTCGCAAAAGGCTTAGGCCTCGACGCGCGTGGTGAGTTCATGCCGCTGGGGGGTGATACGCAGTCACCGACTGACGCGGTGTCTCCGCGCTACGCCTTACCCTCTCCGGTCCGTCGGAGAGGACACGCCGGACGACCTATCAGCCACGCTCGCGCGAGACGAGACCAGTCCACACCACATCACTTGTAGCACGCTTCGCGGACGGAAAAATGACGAATAATGCGTTCAGCCATCGCGGATTTGGAGATTGCCTTGGGCGACGACACAGCTCCAGTTGGACAGACGGATGTTGTGATGCGTTGCGATGCTACGCCGCGGATGGTGCGTTGTCGTGTGGCGTGAGTGCGTGAGTGCCGAAACACAAGGCTCTTGAAGCTCTTGCAGAAACTGCCTGTCCCGCAGATAGTTCAAACGGCTCAAAATATCCAACAGTTGCTTGATATCATTTTCATTCCATTGAAGCAGAATGGCTTCAAGAGTCCTTTGCATTTGCAGCTTGGTTGCTTCCACGATCGTTGCAGCTGTGTGTTCATGAGACCATGAGACAAACTGCGGAGACTGCAGAGTAGATATCATTTCTGACTATCACAAAGGCTAGGGCTACTGTACTTTACTAATGGGGCCATGATGGTTCATGTGTATTTGCTTGGTTTTGGCTTTAACGTATTGATAAGACTCGGTTTCCTCGACTCCCAATGAGGCTTGACAGGTGTCGCCGTCGTTCTGGCCATCCGCGAGGCTGGGATAGATCCTGGAGTCTTCAGGTAAAGGGAATTGGATTCAAAAGGACCCAACATCTGGAATTGCTTCAACCACTGAAGGTATAAAATTAATCATGATACAGTTGTGAGTTGTGCTTGAAAGGATGTGCCCCAGGTCCAAAACGTATCCGCAGCTGGGACACGAATGACATGTTCCTTGGGTGCTTGGCAATGGCAATGGCCCCTAACCTCCAACGACAACAAAATGCGATGCAACGCCGCAGCAACCTTTCTAATAGCTTCTTGTTACTACTAGTAAGGCACTTGTTACTACTAGCGTGGCACTTGTTTCTAATAGCGTGAAATTTCATGCACCCCAGACCTGGGCAGCGCTGGAGTTGCAAAATCACGCACTTTACACCCGCTTGGCAATTTGATTTTACCCGTTTTGTCAGTGTTACTTCCATCTTCTTCCTACCCGCCAGTTTTCCACTATTTTGCCACGTCTTGCCACTCAGAATGCCTTTTTGAGTTAAAGCCTTTCGCAGACCACTCCGAGCCTCCCTGTGGAAGCTGTTTTCGCACCTTAGGTCGACTGCCAAACCTGCGAAACTCGACACTTCTTTCGCGGACTTTTGTCCTTTGGAGGCTATTGGGTTGAAGGCCATTACTAGTAGCAAGGATGCTACTAGGAGCAAAGGGCATCGCTACTAGGAGCAAGGACGCTACAAGGGGCTCCTGGCATCGCTGCTAGGAGCAAGAAGCTTTCTAGTAGCAAGAAGCTACTCGCAACACGGGCATCGCTACTAGAAGTAGGATGTGCCGTCTCATGGACGCAACCCTTTCTCTTTTCTTCCTCGTCGCAGTCGGACTTTTCTGCAGCGGCACCAAGCAGTTTCACCATTCTTTTTTGCCACGCCACTCTGCGCTAGTGCATCGTCGCTCTTCTTTTGGCCATTGTTGGCAAGACAATTGTTTTGTTTTTTAAGTGTTGGCCTCGCTGATGAATGAACAAGAAAGCCCCTATGCCTTTCCTCTTGCAGCATCCTGCCATTGTCGGATGGCTTCCAAAAGAGACACGGCGACGTGTTGTCCTGTTGCGAAGGATGTGAGTTGAGGCGAACCACAAGAGGTGTGTGGAACAAAGAGGTACTTTCTGATCTTTTTTCTCCTCTCTCGTTTTTCTGGGATATCAGATTCACCGACTGCCACCGGCTGTTCGCTGCTTGTGCAAGTGGATGTTCAACTGATCACGCAGCGATGGACGACGGCAACGGCATGGTTTGTTCCTTTTGACACGACAAGCCGATCCTGCCTCCAAGCAGCTTCACGCAACTGCACGATGCGGGCTGGTAGGTTGGAGGCCATCGCTTCTAGGTTGGAGGCCATTGCTCTCAAGTTGGAGGCCATCCCTAGTAGGTTGGAGGCCATCGGAGGGCATTTCTATTAGGCTCTTCCTTATTAGGAGTCTTGTCCAAGTGCACCGGTTCAGGTGCTCCCAGATCTTGGCGTGAATGCACCCCAGCCTCATCCACTAGATGCGTCATTTGGCGTCAGCTGCTGCTCGTTGGCGGCCATCGCAGTCCGCTATGGCGCAGTGACCGAGACACCTGCTGGCTGCCAGGGCTGTCTGGATTTCAGCAACCAACCTGTCATCCGATCGTTGGCCAAGTTGAGTTTGAGGAAGAGGTAGACGACGAAGGTCTGTGGCGGTTGGTCTGTGCTTCTTGTGATTTGTTCTTGCTTTGATCTGTTCTCTGGTCGCGGATGAAGAACAGAAGCTTTACGTCAGTCACGCGCCGTCACGTGCCGTCCGCTGTCACACGCCACAGACTGCGGTTCGGCAGCTCTGCTCAAAGCGACCTTTGCCACCGTGCTTGGCTTGCATGGGCTACTAGCTAGCGCCACCGCCAAAAGGCGTTTGAGCAACAAAACACATTGTTGTCGGAAACCGGCGGTTGCAACCAACTTAAAGTTCCCAGTTTGAAGAGTGAAACGTCGACGCATGAATTTGAACATGGAACTTCATGTTAAATGGTATTTGGTAAAGTGCAGTTCTCGTAATATGAGGTTGAAGTTTGAGACCACTGGTCTTTAGGCACAAGTTTTTCCTCAAGATGTTTGTTGCGAGCATTTTTGGGCAGACCCAAGTCTGTGTGAGGGATGCGAAGTTGGCCGAGTGCCAGCGCGTGGCTAATGCCCTTGGTTCCAACCCGCAGTCATGGTGTATGAGAGTGAGACCATGCGCTGATGTGCTGAGGCTGCAGCTCCCGTGTGGAACACATGGGCTCACAGCTTGAAACTGTGAAGTGGAAGGTTGCAACCAACATTTTGCTGTAAGATGATAAGGTCCATCTCATGAACTAAGTTTTCCCACAGCTACAAGTTAGCACGGCAAGCCCCTGACCTTTCCATTCCTCTGGCCTGGCTTTGGCTTGGCGCCATCTTAACCTTTTTGGGCCCCATGGCTCAAAAGACAGTGGGGGGGCTAAACCCTCCTACTTTGAGGTCTTTATAGACTTTTGATACACCCTGGCGGGAAAAGATGTTACAACATAGGGGCTTGTACCCCCTTGAATATTGTGGCGACTTATATTGTAGTGGATAAAAGTCGTGGAGGATAGTATGTGTACGTTCTTATTCCACAGCGTGTGGCCCACACCTATTCTACAGTGAAACTAGGTAGCTCCTTCTGGTTGTATAGCACCCTTCTGAACAGCTTTCCCAACCGCAAATTACAGATGGTAACAAAATGCAAATTTTACAAATAATGTTATCACTTTACTACACAACTTTATGGTAGCTCTTATGGCTACCATTTAGCTCTGGTTTGTTTCGCCAGGGGTTGCCCGTAATGAGGGATCCGAGCCAGGCAAAGACATTGTGACAGGCGTAAATCAACAGTTTGTCGCCGGAGGACGCTTGGTAAGTTTCACTACAAAAACGCCCCCGTAAGAAAAAACAGTTTGATGTTGCCAAGAATCGTATCTTTGACGTAAGAAAATCTATTCTGTAGTGGATCTATTTTTTATTTTTGTGGTGCCCCCGGTTCCTAATTCTATACTGCAATGTTGGGCTGCCAGATGTCCAGTTCTGATTCTTAACGGGTTAACCTCCCTGAACAGTTGGTTTGCACGCCTGAATCTGGGGGTGCGACCCACACTCGAATTGCCAGTCGCTTCTTCCCTGCCACGGGTCCTACATTTTCACCCTGGGGACCTTGTTGGCAGTCCTTGTTACTGATCTTGCATGTGGCTCTGGTCGGCTACCTGCACTGACCCCGGCAAGCCTTACGAAGAAACTCAGCAATTTGTATTACCACATTCGTTTAAAGCATCCTGTAACTCTCATCTGCGCACTCGTTCAGCGCTATCTTGCAGCTCAAGAAAATTCAAATGGAACCTTGCTCCACAATGTCCAGACAGCTTCGTTTAAAGCATCCTGTACCTCTCATCTGTGCATTCGTGCAAAGCCATCTCGCCGCTCAAGCAAGCTCAAGTGTGGAACCTGGCTCCACAATGTCCATGCAGCCCAGCAGTCAACACCACAGTCACACTACAGTCAACACTGCGTAAATGACGCTCAAAGCTTGTTTTAATGGCCCGCTACCACATTTCGTGGCCCGGCCGGTATTCTCGCAGTGTTAACTGTAGTGCTACCACACTTGGTGACATTGCCTGCAGGAATTTCATGCGCCTGCTTCGTCGTGTGGAGCCCGCCGTTTCTAGAACTGGCCGAGTAAATATCAGCACTTGTTTCCAGCTTGCCTAGAACAGTACGTCTGCGCGGTCGTAATTGCAATGCCTTAATGCTACTGCATGCGCTTAAAGTACCTGACACGCTGAACATGAAAAAGTCGTCCTAGGAAAACTCAGCAGGTTGTACTACTTACCACATTTGTGAAAACGCGCTCTGTAAAGGTCTCAACTGCGCACTCATTCAACGCTATCTTGCAGCTCAAGACAGCTCAAGTGTGGAACCTTGCGGAGCCGAAGTCCAGAACAGGACGACCGGCTGGCGCGGGCATTGGGAGCCTCCTTAGCGTGCTACTGTGCTCGGCAGCCCGTGGACCCTCCCCCCCGAGTGGCGCTCGCGGAGTTTTGGGCGCTGGCAAGCCTGTCTCTCGGTGTTTCCCTGACTCGCTGCTTTCCCCCCGGTTCAACACAAAGGTCCGCCACCAACGTGAGTTGGCTTTGGGATTTACCCAGGGCCAGTCGACACTATGGCCGGCATGTGTATCAAAAAGAAATTAATTACTGAATCAAAAAATATTTACGTAATCAACAACAAATTAATTAACTAATCAAAAAAATTTCCCTTTCCCGTCTCTTGTATGCTTGCTCCTGGTCCACATGGTCGTCCTGGTCCCCTTGGTCCCCTGGTCCCCTTGGTCCCCTGGTCCCCTTGGTCCTCTGGTCCCCTTGGCCCCCTTGGTCCCTGGTCACCTCGTCGAAGGGAAGGAAGAAAAGAAGGGATCCAGGTAGGAGGCCAACACTTCGTCTGTACACGCGAAAAGTTACTCATCTGTACACGCGAATGATATACCTCGTCTGTACACGGGGATGCGCTGCTTCAAACTCACTCTCGCTCTCACTCTCACTCACTCACTCTCACTCACTCACTCTCACTCACTCACTCTCACTCACTCACTCTCACTCACTCACTCACTCACTCTCACTCACTCACTCACTCTCACTCACTCTCACTCACTCTCACTCACTCTCACTCACTTTCACTCACTCTCACTCACTCACTCACTCACCCTTTTGTCCTTTTGTGGGCAGGGTGAAATTTCGAGAAGGAAGTGGCTATGCCAAGTTCACTCACCCTTTTGTGGGCCATGCAGGGGTAAAATTT